AGGGTTATGGTTACTCTTATGTAGATACTGTCGTATTATTAAAATTTAGCCTTTACAGTAGTTAATAGAAGTTGGGGATTATTTTCTATCATTTTTTTCCCCTCAGAAATGAATAATTAAAGCAAATTGATTTGAAAATTGAAATCCTCTCCTCAGTGTGCTGAAGGTTATGAAAAGATACATACCTGACCTGTAATGGGAAGATGTCTGTCAGTCATGCAATAAAATTTCCAAATGTCCTCTTTATCTGCCTCACTCTTAAATGTTAGTGATCCAGATGATCTGTAAGTAATGCAATGGAAGTCAAGACAACAAAAGTCTTCTGTTATTGAAGATCCCTTTGAGTTGATATTTTGTAATGGCTCAGAAGTGGCAAAATGATGTTTCTCTCCTGCCATGGCAGTGAGGGAAGCTCTGGATAGTCCCTGTGTTCCCTTCAGTAGAGCTGTAGGCTGTTATTCCATTGCTATTCTCATACTTTTTCTTTGTTTTTTTTGCTTTAGGCTTTTTGTGGAGGGAAATGTTCGAATCCCAGATATTTGATTTTTTGATTCAGTTGGAGCTGAATTTGTTTTGTGAGTGTGTTTACAAACAGATACTCATCTGTCCCAGGAGGAGCTCTGCTGTGGGATCCTCCAGGCTTCTCCCTGGCTGCTGTTCTTGCTGTTCCTGCAAACCATGAGTATTGCTGCAGCACCCACAGAACTCTCACCTTGCTTGTTATAGATCTTTGCCTTATTATGGCATAAACCAAACAGAACCATGGTTTCAACTATCAGCCGTACAGATGAGCAATTTGATCTCTTCACATACTGCACTGGTGTGTCTCCACCTCTGTGCAGTTTTGGGCACCTCCACATAAGAAGGACATCAGATTATTAGAGTGTGTCCAGAGCAGGGTGATGAAAATGATGCAAGACCTTGAGGGCAACACTTGGAAGAAGTAGCTGTCCAGCTTGGAGAAGAGAAGGCTGAGGGTTTTTTTCTCTTTGCAGTCTACACCTTCCTCATGGGTGGCAGCAGAGGTGGGTGCTGATCTCTGGTGACCAGTGACAGGACATGAGGAAATGGGATAAAACTTCAGGGGAAGTTCAGATTCAACCATAGGAAAAGGTTTTTCACTGAGAAGGTGATCAGTCACTAAAACAGGTTCTCCAGGGAACAACAATCCTGCCGGTGTTCAAGGAGCATCTGGATGATGCTCTTAGTCTATGGTTTAGCCTTATAAGTCCTGCAAGAAGTAGGGAATTGGACTTGATGATCCTTATGGATTCCTTACAACTCGAGATTTTCTGTGATTCTGTGAAACAGAACTTACAGGCTTGCTGGATGTACGGGCATTTTCATTAGCCACTACTTTTTTCCAGGGGAGATTTGCTTACCAACTAATTGTCTTACTGGAAATAACCAAACCTGTGTGAACAATAACATTGCAACTGTGGTGTCTCAGGACAAAGGGCAGAAGTCATAATTCATTACCCTTTTTTACTATCACACAGTAATTACTTGTGTGCATCACCTTCAACCTTTGGACAGCACAGAGTGCTACCCTTTTTACTTGACTAGAAGGAAGGGATGAGAGTCTCTTCTGTGTTCTTATTTGGTCCCTATCACTTCTTTCTGTGTTCACAACGGGGCTCAGAAATGCTAAAACTGTGATTTTTCTCTAAACTGGATCAATTTTTAACTTCCTGCTGTGACATATTAGAGATGTTTCTCATTACCGCTAATGGAAATAACCCTAATCGATGATGGTCATTGTAATGAGGTTACTGCTAAATGGGTTTTAGGATTGTTGGAGGTGGTGGTTAGTCAGTAGCCTGAAGTATGAAAGAAAAACAGGTAATCCAGAGGCATAAAGAACAGCTACGGGTGTGTACAAGCAAGGTTCAGTGGTGGAGCACGCTGGGTGGAGTTCTTATTGCAACTTTCATTTTGATTTGAATTCGTTGTCTTTTCCTTCATCAAGTGTGTTCAGCTGCTGATAGATGTAGAAGTGAAATGTTTTCCTGTCTTCCCTTTTTCCATGCTGCAGTCCTGGTTTGCTCAGTTTTCTGTAAGGATCTGTAGCAGTTGGTATCATCCTAACAATTCTCAAGCAAAGAGTATGTACTTCAGTTTAAACTGCCTGCATTGCAAGGGTAATCTTGCCTTTTGCATGCTATGTGTAGTTACTACCAGGATGTTGAATTTATGGCAGAAGTTTGAAATAGATAGTCAATATCTTTCTGTAGGGGTAGAATGAAAGAAAATTTGCCAGCATCATACATAAGTTTCAGAATATTGTATAATTTTCTTGAAGCTTAAGTAACTTGAGAGCTTCACTTCATTAATGGCCATAAACAGAGGAATTGGCAGTTGGTGTGGAATGGAAGGAACAAGAACTGAAGGACTAGAATTAAGCAGTGGTTATGGGATATTTTTATTCAGCGTTTTACCTCCTTTGCAATATTTGAGCTTTTTGTAACTCCTTGTCAAGATGCAGTAACATCAATTCAGTGCTTTTTTTTTCAGGTTATGTTTTCTTTCTTCTCATAATCATTCTCATTAAACCAACGTGTGAAGAAACATGTGAGGGATGGTGCAGACTGTGTGCTGATTGATGTTGACTGATTTTGCTATTTTAGAAAACAAGAGAACATTGACTTGTTTAATTTCCCCTTAGGACTCGTGCTAGACTAGTGCTAGGACTAAGTGCTAGAAAAATCCCCCATGAAGGCTTTGCATTCACTTTTCAGTATGACCTTTTAGTTCTGAGGTGAAATAAGACATTTAGAAGTGTAACAGATCAGGTAATGATGACTTCATCAGCAGAGATGGCCTCACAGAAATTTAAGCTGCAGCTTGCCTAGAGCCTTATTTTGCAAAGCATATCATCTGGTTCTTAATTTCAAGCATGTTTGAATCCATTCTAGTTGAGCAAAATATGTCGTCTCCTTTCCTACCTTCTGTTAAAAAGCTACCAGACTGTAACATGGAAGGAAAAGCCACCAAAACACAGTCTAGAACACAATGTGCTTTCCTACAAAGGGTGGAGCATGTACAATGTCAGAAACCAGGCCACACCAGTCATTTGGGTCTCTGGTCCCCAGATGACACATCACTAGGGCCCCAATACAAAGGCATCATTTCTGTGCTACAAACCTCTCCTGGTGGGTCAGGTTCCCTGTTGGACTCTGAAGCCTTCTGTTCAGCTCACTGACCTTCTGGTGGAGCTTCATAAAGGCAGACTGGGCTCCCCCTTAGCCTGCTGATCTCTCATTGCCATGGGTAGCCCTGTGTCTGCCCACCTCTACTTTTTTCCAAATTGCTACTGTGCCAGGTAGCCTGTGTTAGGTGAAAGGTCTGGACGCTTTTTTGGTTGCTAGGAGGGCAGAGCTCTGTTCTGTTGACCATTCTGGAGCTGTTTCCCCCCCCCAAAAAAAAAATTGCTTCTGGAGTCTATATTCATTCTTGCATTTTAGTGGAGGAGATAATAATGGCCATTCTTCACCACAGCTTAATAAAGCTCTGAAATACAAAGATGTAATGGAAGATATGTCATTGTTTTGGGTTTTGGTTTTGGTTTTGTTGGGGGTTTTTTTGTGAGGGGGGTGGATTTTTATTTATTTTTTTTTTTAGAGAAAATGTCATGCTGAACGTGATTCCAGCACCCTCCTGTTGAATGCAGGCAGGAGCCTGAGGGATCTGGTCTAATCATCTACTATGGCCTGTGCCTATGGGTGACGGGCTGCGTAGAAATTTAGGAAGAGAAAAAATTGTAGAAAGAAAGAAGCTTAACTTTGAATAGGTGCAACGTGACCCATTTTCCTCTCTTGCACTGTAAGGTTTTCTGCTGCTGGCTCCTGCCTGTGTGGGCTGATCCCATTTGGTGCTCTTGGCTCTGCTGACCCTTGGGTTTGTGGGTGGCTGGAACTGATGTCCGGGTCATTTTATGTGTCTCAGGATCTGCCCCTGGTTGCTCTTCCACACCATCATGCTGAGTGATTCATAGGGGTGTGGAGGAGATCGGCATCCTCTGTGTCGGATCCAGCTGTGCTTCAGTTGGAGGGCAGGAACTATCTCTGCATTGTGCCTCTGCTTAGCTGTGCAAGGGGACACAGCCTGACAGGGTAGCCAGTGCCAGGGCTGAGTTTGGATCTATTGTCTTCACATGGGGGAGGGGGAAAAAAAAGCCCCCCCGCCCCCTTAAATTTTACTCTTGAGTGAATCTTAATCTTTAAATTACTACAAATGTGAGACTTCCTATGCTATGATTTGAGAATAACTGTAATCATTTCAAGAAAACAAAGCCTAGGAACATTATGGTGTTGAATGTAGAGTAAACTGGTGTTTGAAACGATGTGTTGTACATCTGCACATATCAAAAAAGGAGTTTAATTTCCTAATTTGTTTTGGATCTTGCCCCCCTCTCCTCATGTTCATCCCTATTTTATTTTCTTCCTTTTGTGTCTATAATTGCATGTGTTATTAGAACTGGCAAGATGAGCACCTCCAGATGTATCCTACAGGAATGCAGCCAATGCTGACTCTATTCCCATGTCAGACTGCATGCCAAGTCAGTGAAGCTTGGTTGTCAAAACCTATACCCTTTCTGCACTGCTTCTAAACCCATCTTCTCACATAATATTTTGGCACAGGGTGACTCATGATAACCTCAAGAATTGTCCCAAGCTAAGAATGTGTCTTTTACTGTGTTGAAACATCCCTGTTAAAAGTAGGATTTTGAAATGGTATGGCCAAGGCAGCTTTCCTTATTCTTCTGTCAGACGGAAGGAGCTGAGGGGTTTGTAATCTGTGTGTTGAACCTTTCACTGGGTTTTGTGTTTTCTCTTTTTTTTTTTTCAACATACTCTGAATTTTTATGCACTTCGAATACAAAGGAAAAACGTTCATTTGTTTCACTAAACATAATGCATTTTGTGTCGTGATTTCTAGCAAGAAGATAACTTCTCTTCCTTTTGGGGAAAAATATATTAATTTTACTTATTATTTTACAGGTATCAGGCGACAGCATATCAATGATGCTCCTTCTACAGGATCTTTTCCTAACTGGAGATCTATACTATCACCAACACGGCCTTCCACAGAAACTAAGACTTCCTCAGTAGCTGATATTTCTATGGGGCAGACTTTGGAGAATGCAGACTTGCTTCAGATGATAAAAACCACGCTGACTGGCACACGTACCAGGACTTTGGATCAAATGCATCTGTTGCCCACTCTGTATCAAGGCAGTGGAAACAGTGCATCCCAGGAACCCGCTGAAGTTTCGGCCGAGTCGCCTCTGAGATCATCATCTCAAGATGCAGACGAAACAGGTTTGCCTCAACTTGGTATGTTTGCCACATTGTCCCCTACACCATTCGGGTACAGCTGTGCCACTTCAGCTAATGCCATTAAAAACACCCTCCATTTCAAAAGAAAGCTCATCAGGATCAGTCATGCTTGCTCCTGTTCCATCACCATCATTCTTCCTCATTGGTAATTCGGTCACCTCATACCATTAACTTTTCTAAACCAGCTGTACTGCCCATCAAAGTGCCTTTGTCTGCAGATCCTGAAGGTTTCGTCAACACAGATTCAGCCAGCTCACAGGTTAGTGAAAGCAGAAGTAGTCCTCTAAGTGTGGTACATTCCAGTATGGTGAATCACAGGAGGGGTCCCGAGTTCTTTACAGGGGTCATGCCTTTCATTGGATTGACAGCAGTGCATTTCACAGAAATAGTGGGAAAAGGATCTCCTTCAGAAAGGACCTCTTTTTCATCTATATACTCTGATATTCCTGTGTCAAAAATGCATCAGTCTCCCCTGACAGGAACTTCCAAAAGCCTGTCATGGTTCCCTAATGAGAGTCTGTGTAATGTATCTTCTACTGGAGTAAAACCAAACACTCAGCCATTTAGGGCAGCACTGACTGACAGAAATAGTGATATCACTCCTCTGTCACCATCAGCTTTTCAGGATAAAGTAGAGGTCCCTACATCAGTCTTCCATCCTGTGGTTACTCCACATCTAGTACTGCAAATGAGTCATCTTCAGTCTTTCACAGCACTGACTAATTACACTACAGGCTCTACCCCCCTTTACCTTTTGTGTCATCAGCTTCTGAGAGCCTGGCTGAGGTCTCCAGCTCAACTGAGAGCACGTCTTCCCTTTCACTGCCAATATAACTTGTTCCAGATGCAAAGCACACTTGCAGTGCAGTGCTGCCAGCTCGAGCGTTTAGAAGCAAAACAGATTTGCTCTTTAGAAATGCAACACGCTCCTCTCCAACAAACCCAAGGTCCTCCTTGCTAACTGAGACAAATGATGTGTTTACTAGGATAGCACTCAGAAACGGTCCCAGGGCAGCAGCAGCCGACCAGGATACATTGCAAATCCCTTCGACTGCTGTCTCACAGCGCTCAGTGGTGGCTCTGAATCAGACTTCTGCAGAAGACCTGACTGATGGATCTTATCAGACAAACAGCATGTAATTGCCAACTGCTCCTGCCTCTACTCTCCCAACTCCTGGTGGCTTTCCTGTGGCAAGAAAAGCGCAACAGCCTTTTATAAGAGGAGTGACAGCAAAGATGTCCATGAACTTTAATGCTAATAATGTTCTGCCTTATGGAACTCAGCTTTCCAAAGTTTCTCCAGACATCCAAACCAGTATACTCTGCATAGGATCAAGAATACTAAGACACTGTTTTGGAAATGGCCATGACTAGTCTTGATCTAGCTGCAGTGCCATTAATTCCTTTTACTACAGGCCTTTCAAAACCTGAAACTGCTGTCACAAATACATCTGCCACTAATGTTTTTGTGACTGCACATCTTCCACCTGGAGATGCAGAAAGTCCAGATGTAAGTGAAGACAGAAAGATGAGACCGTCCACTGTTGTGACCACACATGCAGAATATTCACCTTGGGAGCTTTAAGTCATTTAACCTCTGATCAGACTTTGCGTTCAGTTGATAAAAAACCACTCGCCTCTGTCATGCCTCCAGCATGGAGTGTGCTGCCATCACTTGTTTCCATGACAACGTGATGGACAGCCACAGTTCTGGCTCTTCCAGGATTTCGAATGCAGACTTTGAAAGCAATTTAGATCCTGTCAGCCCTCCTCAAGTCATAACTTCAGCTTCTACGTGGACCAATAAAGCTTTGCTGTCTTCAGCTGGCATTAGTATTCCTTCAGTAAAAACTTCAGTCCAAATGGCAATAAGAGAAGTTCCTTCAAGTACTTCTCCATGGGAAGCTGAGCATCACACACCACACTTGGTAGTTTCAAGTCTGCAAAACAAAATTAATACAAATAGGCAGCCACTCTTCTCCACCCCTTCAGCAAACTATACTTATGCGTGCTATAGTCAAGGTGTTTCAAATTTACCCTTTGCTGAAACAAATAGTTTTTCAGAATTAGATATATTTGCACTGGAAACATCTCCTGTTCAATATTCATTCCTTGTTACAGCACTGACAGTGCCTGACCTCTTGCAAAAAAAGGCATGGAAGGAAGCAAGCCTGGAAATGTTGCTAATTTCTTTGCTCTTGGAGATGTTCATATCAGTATACACGATAAAGTATCTCTGCATTTACATGTGCCTTCTGTTGATGCTGCAGGTGCTCTCCCTAGCTCTCTAGAATCCCAAACAAGTGATGCTGGAAAGATTATTTTACTGACAGAAACGTTAAACACAGCACCAGCGTTGGATTTGCAGCTCACTGAAAACTTGACTATTTCAGCCACCAGCAAAAGCACACTGCCAGCCCAGTGCCCCTCTCCTGTAACTAAGCCTTCTGGCTCAACTGTCTTGTATAGTTTTATTTCAGAAGTCATTGGTTCTGGAAATTTGCCAGAATTTGCAGACAATCAATTAGAGTCCTCTGGTTATTTGTTTATGGTTGATAAAAATCCAGCTACATTCAGTGTAGAGTGGGACACAAATGCTACAAGACACAGTGTAGTTCCCAGTAATATATCTAATAAAATTACCAAGGGCATCCCATTGCAAACCCTGACCACCAGTGCTCTGCAGTCAGTCATCATAACTTCTGTCCATGCATCACCAACACAGCTAGAGTCTCCTTTTTTGCCAAAAACCAACTTTACCCATTCTGTCCTTACAGTGTTATCTGGAATATCTTCTGGTGCAATACCTACAGTAGGAACTTCAGAAGCAAAACCACTAACAAGAAAATCATCTCCAGCTTCACCAGTGCCAGCTTCTTCCTTCTTTTCTCTAGGCACTGAAAACACACCTTTGCCATCTGTGATGGCTTTAAGCACACCGACACTGACCCTAACAAAAAATAACACTGCCACAAAATTGACATCGGACCTAAGCTCAGTAGGAACACGTGCAGATTTTCCTTTTGCAACGAGAAACACAACTGCATCACCTGTGGACGTGACAGCCATGCTCATAACCCCTAAAAGCAGCACGGTCACAGCCTCCACACTCGCACCCACAACCCACGTACCAAGGCAGATAGAAACCACAGTAACTGACACCCAGAAGTTCCCGAGCTCAGACATCACCAAAACGTCAACCCCCTACCCACTGACAATTACAGCAGCTTTGACATCTATTACAGCATCAGCGAAAACAACTAGGCTTCCCCCTACTCCAGTGGAAAACTCCTCTGCTCCCTCTGAAACCACAGCAGCAGCGGCTTTCGCTAACATGACAGCAGCTCCCCCCCTGGACTGCCGGCTCTCCGACAACCTTATGGTTAAAACAGGTATGTGGGGACACTCCGTTTACTGAAAGGGCCTCGTGTGTCTGTGAGGGGCAGCTGGTGAGGAGTGAGAAATGCACTCCAGTGTCAAAGAACGTGGGGGCATTCGTGATTAATCTGGCGATGAGGCTGCTGCACTGACAAACCAGATGGATAAAAGCAGGGTTGTTAGATAGGAGTGGCATGGGCTTTATTCGGGGCTTGGATTTTGCAATGAATGCGTCAGAAGAAGTGGTGAGATCATCAGGTGCTCTGAAGTTCAGCAGGTCACTGCAGGGATTTAGCAGAACCACCTGTGTGGAGGGACAACCCGGTGGGGTGTGATGGTTTGGTCTCTGCTTTGCAGTGAGGAGTCTGTGTCGCTGAAGGGGACAGTGCAGGAACCTGCCTCAGTCTTCGGCCCTCTTTACATGCGAATACCTAATTATGTTTTAACGTGAACGCCTAATGCTGTCATTAAAGTTTCATTTGAAGATAATAAGCATTCAGAATTTCATCCCTCAAAATGGGAGGATTTTGAGTTTTCTGTGCAAACAGTGCCACTTCTGGCTCTAGCTGTTTTTTTCATGGTCAGTTTTTCCTTAGCTATGAGAAGTCTGAACTAAAGGGGTCAGATAGGTCCCTTGCCCAGGCTTATGGTAGCACAGTGCAGCACCAGAAGATGTGTGCATCTCGAAGATCTCAGCAATGAAGAATAGCTATAAAGAAATGGTTTATGATCTTGTATAGACCTGAGTGGTACAAGGTGAAATGAAATTAGCAGCTTTTGGACCTAATGTGTGTTTGATAGCTGCTAAATATCTACATCAGTAGCGTGATGAGTACAGCAACTATTTCTAAACATAGAAGTGGCTTGTACACAGTATGGGATTGAAAGTACTCAAGTGCAGCTGTAAAGCTCTTTCTGCAAATTATAAGAGAAAAAGATAGTGATAATGTTAATAAAGAGAGTGTACAGATGCTTCCTAAGTGGAAAAATAATTGTAGCAGCGGAGAAACACATTTCTGTGTTTATTTAACTGTGGCCATGAAGATGTGAAGCCTGCCTGTGCAGCACCAGCTCAGTCCCCCGGGAATGCTGCACCAGTCTGTCCGCGGGCAGTCGAGTGGCCTCATACCTCACTTGGAAAGGCAGCTTGGCAAAGACTTGTTGTTGCTGAAGAAATTGAATTTGTTAGACCTTGCTCTGGAAACAATGGGCTATTGCCATGGGATGTATAGGGAACTCAGGACGCTGCTGAGGCCCTGCAGTTCTGTCTTTGGAGCTGCTGCTAATCCTGCAGCTGCTTTGATGATCCCCGCACAGCCAGCCCCACGTAAAAACAATTAGAGGAAGCAAACAGGAGCATGGTGATGTCTCAGACCACCATGTGGCTTTTGTTGCTCCACAGTTCTGTTTCTGAACACAAGGAGGATGATGATCAGCAATGCCTTCAGGGAGATGGTGAGAAAAGGACTCAACCAAGTGCTGAGACAAGCGTTCAACCAAAACGTCAGTGCTCAGGTAAGCATGCATGGCTTGCCTTTGTGATCTCACTGAAACACCTCTCCCACCAAAGGAATGCCAGCTGGCTGCAGCCCTAGTGGTATCTGGTTGCAGGAAGCCTCTTTGAGGGGAGCACTGAGCTTTTCCTATGGAGCCTCTTGGAGGGGAGCAGTGAGCTTTTCCGACGGAGAACAGTCATAGGCAGTTCTAGGCATGGAGAACAGTCATAGGCAGTCATAGGCAGCACCCACTCTGGGCTCTAAAAACATAAGGAGTATTCCAAAGCTTTTACCAGTTTATTTGATGAAGAAGAGGAGAGAAATGCAAACTTCTTTTTAGTGTGTTCTGGGAAACGATTACTGACAGCAGTGTCCTCTCCCCCCTGCAGCTCAGGAGTGACTCCTGACTCACAGGCAGCTGAGTGCTGTTCTGCTCAGCCTAGATCAATGGCAACAGCATGGCTGGTAAATGGGATGTCAGTGCTGTCAGTCTGCTCCCTGGTTTGAAAACCTGGTACCTGACAAGTGCGATTCCACAGGGATGAAAATCCCGAGCAGGGAGAAAGCACATTTTATTGAAAATAAGTGGAGGTGATGTGTTCATCACTTTGCAGCTAAATTGCAGGCACCTCTGCACTGCTGTGTGTGAGAGCAGGCTCGGGTGGGCTGCTGGGGTGCTTTTCTCTGGAACACAGGTTCCTGTTCACTTAGGCAGGGGTTTGTGTTATAAGTTATCCTTACCAAGCTCCTGAGAAAGAAGAAAGCAATTTTGCTCAAAATAGAGGGCATCAAGTTGACTTCAGTCCCCACGTTTTATTGCTGCAAGTGTGGACCATGTTAGTTGGTTTGGGAATTGTGTGTTCCCGAGTCTTGGCAGGAGCAATAAAAACTGTCAGGTTTCGTCCCCTACCTTTTTGTAAACTTGAGAGGAGCTGCCTTTTGGTTGCCAGCTAAAACCTAGTGGAGAGAATCAGTTCCGGAGCTAAAACTTTTTGGAAAATACAGAATTTTGAGGTAAAACTCAACTCATGTTTTGGATCATAGTGTGTTCATTCTTGTGGTTTGTTATTTCCACTCATATAGGTCCACTTGCAGACTGGACAGTATAGCAAAACAGTATAGAAGTGATAGCCCAATCAAATATTGAAAACTTTTACCTTTCAAAAATCTGCCTTCAAACCTGCAGTGACAGACACATGCACAAAGTCAGTGAACTTCAGGCATGAAGTAGGAGCTGGAGTTTCTCTGGATTCTCTGTATTTTTACATGCATAATTAAAATATCCCAGTATCTGTACATGAATGAAGCCCCAGCCTAAACTGGAGGTGTGACAGCTCTAGTAGCAATACTGCACTGCTTCAATTCAGAGCACATGCTGTGAGGGCTGGGCCTAAAGCTCTCCGAGCAGCTCTGCTAACACTGTGTCTGATACGACACTAACTGATCCCATGGGGTTTATAGGGGATTACAGGATAAAAACCCTGCAAGGAACCCATATTAAGCATGAGAAAAGTCCCATCAAATAGTGATAGAAATGTGCTTCCCTGCGTGTGTTTTAGGTTGAAATCCTGGAGCAATCGAGTAACCTAACAGTTGGTTACTACGTTACACGGGGGAGGCTGGTTTTCATCCCAGCTGCTGTCATCGAAAGGCTCCTCGCGTACGGCATCAGCAACGCCACGGCAGACATCAAGCAGCACGTGCCACATCTCCAGGCCGTGGTGGCCCTGGCCTTGCCGTGGAAGCCCCTTCCCGCGTACCACTTCCAGCTGAAAACAGGTGAGCCGTGTCCTGCCTGCCCTGGGGTGGTCTGTGTGTTTGTGCTTTGGTGCCCAGGGACGGTTCCTGCCTCAGCCTCTGCTCTCCAGTGCAGTGGTGTGGCAGCAGGACAAGCTCTGCTTTGGTTTCCTGGCACAAGCAGGACAGCCAGTGTGGGCATCCCAGTCCTTCCTGGCGCTCTGCTGTCACAGCCACTGGTACTGTTGTGAGGTGAAGTGGCTTTGCATTAGGGATGAGTCACACCGACACGCTTGACTAACACTTGGCATTTGGTTAAATGGACTTCAGTTGATGGATTGTGCAGTAACCTGTGTGTTCCTTCTGGGGACAATCAGATGAGAAACATGACTAGAGGATATATATACACACACACACACATACTGTTCTGGCTGGACCCATCTGCCCTAGGTCCCAGCTGTCTGACCCAGGGTCACTGCTTAACCCTCTGTGCTGTACCAAGCATCACTGCAGAGTAATTGCAGTGCAGTATAAGCTGTGAGAGGGCAGAGAGTGCTGTAAAACAATATATTAAATTATAAAAAGATTTCTTATGTCTGTGCTCACATGTTTATATACACATAATGCAATTAACCAGTTAGGTAAATTTTTCTTAGAATCAAACAGAATGAGAATCAATATTGTGATTGATTATGTTTTGCAAGAGCAGATGACCTGCAAGATTTAAGACTATAACTTGTCTTTTAGAATAATTTCACTACTGCCTGGCTCTGAGTAAATATATGCACGGTGAACTGGTCTTACCATCTTATATATTACTGCAGAAACAATCTCCACTTGTTTATGGAGAGCATCAGCTCTAATAATGCAATTTAACTCTTACATTTTGTCTTAATTAAGACTCGTTTAGTGCATTGCCTGAATGCCATCAACTGATCTTATGTGGCATTAACTTCACCTGCTTAATTTGTTAATTGATCATTTTGCTCTTGGCATTGGAGGATTTATGCAACTGAGAATACTTTGGCCACATGCTAATATGTTCCTTTTCCAGAGCTGCAGTTTGTGGGTCAAACAGACAATATTCAGTCATGCAAATTTATTCAGACCATGGAACAGCGACTACAGAGAGCATTTCAGGATGCTGAAAGAAAGGTCCTGAACACCAGCAACAACTTAACAGTTCAGGTACTATGTTGTGTTGCTTTGCCAGTGCCTGTTGCCAAACTCTCTGGGTCATTCTTTGTTATTCTTTGTGTTTGTATTTCAACAAAGTGCCTTGGCTAGCCACTGTGGGAGGAAGTTCATGCTTTCATCTGAAATAAGATAGTTTTATGTATTGCAGGAAAACTTATAAATGGATGATTTATAGAAGACAGGTACTTTTTATGAGTTTGAGTTTTACTGTTTGCAGTTAAGTCATTCAAATGAAATTCAAATAAAAACAAATGTATATTCTTCCAAAGTTATATTTTTACTGAATATGTTATTCTGGCATGGTAGTTGCTTTCGCTGTGGCTATTCAGGTATAAAGATAGTGACAGGCATAGCTGTTTGTAAGATCTGAGCTAATGGAATAGAATTTCTTCTCTTTTTTTGATGTGCATTCGGTTCCATACTCGCAGACAGACACAAATTCACCACTAAGGACTTGTTTTTTGCAGACATTTATATGTATAGAGGGCCAACACCCTTATGCTCTGTGCCATACTTCAGGAAAAAAGAAATTATCCTCTGGGTGATATTATATGTATTTGACTCACGATAAAACTCTGTGTATGGACTTGTGCTCCTCAGAATGGTTTGTACGTAACTTTCCAGAAGGAGAAAATTGGCTGTCGGGGCTTTCCTCAGTTACTTCGGTGCAGAGAAGGCACAAAAGTGCATGGAAAGAGATGACCTACCACAGTAGGTAAAGGGATTATCAGACTTTTCAATAGCTGGACCTGTGGCACTGATGGGAACTTCGTGGTGACTAATTTGCTTGAAGTGGAAAAGGCAGATCTCACAAAGCACCTAAGCAATTTTGTAAAGAGCCCTAGTAGAAGGTGGTAGTTGGTTTCTTTTTGTGGGTATTTCCAATTTAAGAAGAGATAGGATGGAGGTCTTGGAGGCAAGATATAAGCTGGGAAGTAAGAGGCTCAAGGGTGTGATCTTCATGATAAATTTTTCTGAAATCGTTTTTCAGTACCATGCAACAGACTAAGTGCAGCAGAAAATTGTATGAGGGTTTTAGATTAATTACAAACTGAGGAACAGCTCTGAAGCAGACAGAGCCAATTCAGAAGAGGCATTGCTGCACTTACAAGAGCGGAGGGAAAGGTGCAAGGTGGGTAACAGGCGTGAAGCAACTTCCGTGCAAGGAGGAATGAAACTGGCCATGGTTCTCCAACCATGAGTGCTGTAGTGAATCAAGAGTGATCACTTGGAGCTTCCCATATGAGAACTACTCATATTTAAGAATCCTTAGGAAGAGTCTTTTAACACAGTGGGTGATAAAGATGTTACTGGAGAAAAAGCCTGGAAATTACAAAAAGCAATTGGCCAAAAATATACAATAGAAAGTCATCAACCCTGTTTAAACCCAGGCATATGATTTATGGCTCAGACCAGAGCTGTGGGCTAACCTTACACTGCTGAAAGCAGTCTTCTCTTCTTCTGTGCTCACTCTCCAGCCATTTGCTCCTGGCCATTGGCGAGCCAATTGTCTAAGTGGACATTGGCTACACAGACCTTTGGTCTGACCTCAAACTCTTCTGATGTTTTTATTATACTGTGCTTTCTGTTTTTACTTGGTGATCCAGATGATAAAAATGGGGTATTTAAATAACATTCATGAATGCTGTTGGTCCTACCTATGTCTAGCCAAAAAAAAAAAAAAAAATCCCTCTTGTCTTAGGACATAAGTTTTCTGAGAAAACATATTTTGATGGTGGCTTTTTTTTGTTCCTGCCCTGCCTTTTCCTCTCTGCTTCCTACATGAAACTGGTGTCTGAGGAGATGATCCAGTAGTTGCTAATTAGAATTGGTCCTTAAATGCGGTCTTCAGGTTTGGGCTCAGGAAGAGATGGGCATAGAGCTAACCTGGGAAGAGAGCAGGTAGTGATATGATGCTAGGAACAGAAGAGACATGATATCCCTTTATTTAGTATGGAAAAGGTGTGGATCTAGATAACTGTACTAGGAAGGCAGCAAAGACAGCTAGACATACAGGTCAGTTCCTCTGTATCAAGCAGTGGACGATTTTTCTGATAAGAAACCTCTCCTTCATCTTACATTTCTTGATAAAACCAGGGAAAAGTAGTTTCAGTCCTGACTGCATCCTTTCTGCCTGCTGCTGTCCTCCAGGAGCTCTGTATGTGCTAAAGTAGGGATTAAAGTATCACACAAGTAAAGTTTTACACAATCATGTTGAATGAGAGGTATCTAATCTGCTGTTCAAGTTAACGTTTCCCCAATTTGTTTGCAGTGGCTGGGTTGTTGTTTTTGTTTGGTTGTTTTTGTTTGGGCTTTTGTGTGTTTGTTTTTCAGGGTTTTGTTTGTTTGGGGGATTTATTTGTTTTCGTTTTTGGTGGGTTGTTTTTTGTGGTGGTGTCTTTTTGTTGCTTAAACACAGCAACATGTTATTTCTGCCTCTGTTTCAGATTTTGAACACTTCCAATGTCTCCCAAGCTGTCACTCTGTTTTACGTAGTGAACAATCGAAGCACAACTCTAAATGGCACTATTTCCAGCAACCTTCTTAATCAGCTGTCAGCTGAGCTGGTGGGTTTCTACCTCACCTACCCACCTCTCACCATTGCTGAATGTAAGTATGTGCTTCCCAGAAGGCAGCTCTTTAACATTAGCCAGCACCAGGCTAATGTTTGGCAAGCACCCTAAGCTTTGTTGTCAAGCTCACAGATTGCAGGTGGTTTTTCTGACTATTTTAAAAATATTTTTTTATTAAAAAAAAAAAAAAGGAGAGGGGGACCCAGATGTTTTTTTTTTTTCTAGGTTCAGTGTTTACTTTGGCTGCTAGCAGCAATGTCAAATAATCAAGAAAAACATATATAAGCTGTCATTGGTAAAAAAAATCCAACTCTGTGAGAGGTTCCAAACAAAATAAAATGGTGGTTTTATGTAAAACAAAGCACAGAAGGTCCCCAATTCCTCATTTCAGGAAAGCTTAGCACAGCACATGAACTTTAGCTTCAGCATAGCCCTTTACTTCAGTAGAAGCCTCAGCCCCTGTGCTTGCTCCAGTGGCTGAGCTGGGATCAGGTTATGAGTGTGTGTTTGGGCAGTGGGTGAGCTCTAGCCACGCTTTTTTGCTTGAGAAGTTGTTGGTGTATTTGCTGAATTTCATCCTCTGTTTAAAAGTGGTCAGAGCTCTTTAGCATCAATAGCTTGCTTGCTTTCCAGTTGTTACGAAGGCTCTGAGGTACAGAGAACTGGAGACAATTGTGTGGTGTATATGCTCTCCGACTCTGCTAATTTCTCTGAAATGATTAAAGGCACAAGACTTTTGATTATGGGGATTTCTGTTTAATCTGCTTGTTAATGTGATGTGTGAAATTAAGCTTACTGCAGAGACAGGTTATCTCCAGGTTCACTGGAGATCAGTGTTCACTGGAAGTGAGAAGAGACAGGGACATGCTGGGAAGTCAGTGCATGGTAATGGACTGGTAAAGGAAGGGCAGGCTTCAACTGATCTCACTGTGTGTAAATCTTCATCAGATGCTTGTTAGATTTGAAATACTGTGTTCAAACACCAGTAAAGATCTGGTTAAGCTTCTGGTAGCTTTCAAACTCACTGCCAAGGCTATGCAGTGGTTTGTAATTTTGCATTTCACAAGCATTGAAATAATTGGGCACATAAGGGTAGAGTCAAATTTGTCTTTATGATCGGAACTCTGAACTGAGTGGATTTGTAGCTTTAGGTAAAATTACCAAAATGTTTGTTCATTTTCTGATTCTAAGAAAAAGCAGAAGCAGACTATTGGAAAGGGAGCGCTGGGGAAAACACAAGTTATCTTTTTTCGTTGGCCCATTTTGTTTGCAAACAGCCCAATAGCAGAGGAGTTCTCTTGTGCAATTTTTCATGAGTGACTTGCACGATGAGCTGTCTGTGGGATAAGTGGTCGCTCTCTGCTGTGAGGCAGTCAGGAATCACAGCTAACTGTGGTGATGGTGCAGATCTGTAGAAAAGGAGGTGTATATGTTATTCTTGAGGCATTACCTATCAGATTATGGTATTTGCAAACAAATAGTTGAAACTGCCCAGCGATGAGCTCTTGAGCTGTGTTGGCGCACTTTTGTATCAGAGTTTCCATCGCAAGGTAAGAGACACATCTCAAGGTAGGCTTGTGTTTTCACAGTCTTTCCACAGGCAAGAGGAGGTGGAGGGAGGCTGTTGACAAAGGAAGGGATGTAGCCCATTCCTTATCAGACAGGATCCTTCCCTTTCATGGCTGGAAGGTGAACCTGTCTGTCGAGTGCCCTTTGTGCAGGACTTGTCTTCATGGGGCATCCAGGAGCACAGGGAGAAAGCCGGAGGAAGTTTTGATGATGGCTGTGCTCAGTTCAAGTGTTCAGGCTCCAAAATAGGTCTGTTGCATAGGAAGAGGATCATAGTGCTTCTCACAAAGGCAACGCAGGCATATGCTTAGTAGTCAGGAGCTGTGAAAGCCATTTGTCACACCGCAAGACTTTTGTGGTACTGCAGTTCTCTGTTGATCCCCACACATAATGGAGAGACCTGATAAAGTCTTTAGCTAGTGCTTCTTTAACAACTAATGACTTATATTTCATTTTGGAGTTCTTGGTTTTATTCCCAGTGCAGCAGCTGTACTGCAAACTCAGAACTTAATGCAAGCGTAGTGTTTATGGCACCAGACTGATAGTGTGTCTGGAAAATGTTTCCTTTGAAGAGCGTTTGATGCTTATTCATGTGGCAGTGTTGTTGTTTCAGTTTATCAAACAAATACTGCGGTTGTTCTCAGAGCATGTTATTTCCCAGTAGGCTCCAGTGGCTCCTCCAGAGCCTTTGCAATCTGTCATGGAAATGCACAGCTCAGGGCACGCTGTGAAATCCCTCCTCAAAAGCAGTTCCTGTGCGTAATCAGATCCTTTACGATGTTTACTATTTCACGCCACTTCGGTGTTTAAAAATCAAGGTAACTCAATAGCAGCACATCAGTGTGCAAAGCATGGATATTTTCTGAATTAAGTTCCTAGTATTAATGCTTTCCACGTTGCATAAATCTATTGAGAAAAATGCTGAGCTGTATAATGAATTAGCAGCATATTGAGCTTTACAGCCTAATGCACTTTGGAGATGGAGAAGCAAACAAAAGGCACCAAAATGGCAAATATCAGTTTCTCACAGATGTAAACACATATGGTAGTAATACCTTAAATGGTGCAGAGTGAGAGAGAGCACCACACTCCAAGGTGTGTTTGCAGTTTTGTTAGTCTCGTTTGTAATTCATGTGGAGTCTGATCCTGGTTTATTTTAGCACTATTTTAGGTTAAAACTGTGGTCTGGGTTACATAAGGATTAATCAGAGAAGCAACATGGAATCCTATCCTGTTTTCTGCAGGGGAGAAAGCATCAGAAATGTATAGAACATGGACACACACCTGTTACCTATCATTCTCGGTACTGGGCAAGCCTGGGCTTTGCCCCAGACAATGTACCAGCCACTGTTTGGGCAACAGGAGATGTATGTTCTACTTTGTGTGGCAGCACCTCTTCTGTTTACACTTGATGTTCTTTTTCAGAGAGAAGAGAAATTGTAACACTGAAAATTATGCCTCTAGATCTCCTCTTGGGCCACAGTTCAATTTATTTATCACTGTCTGGTTAGCCAGTTTCAGGGCATGTAATGTATAGGATGTTGGAATGTTATGACATAATTTCAATGCTTTTATTTTTTAAAGCTTTGGAATATCCAAACCTTGATGTCTCGGAGTCAACTAGAGACTACTGGGTGATAACAGGTACTTTTTAATCTCCTTCCCTCCCCCATGCACTCCAGGTGATAATTTTTAGTGGTTGTTTATATAAACACATCAGTGCAATATTTTTAGACAAAAATAAGTGGCTGCCCACTGAAGCTGCCTGTTGCACTCAACTGGGCAAATGTATTTACAGTCACTCTGGGGCATAACTGATTCATCATCTTGAACGGCGTCATCTCCTGCATCCAACACCCGCCTCAGAATTTATAGCACTTTGGTTTAAGCACTTCTGGGAGCAGCATTATCTTCTCAGAGTTTTGAAACACAAATAGACTGTTTGTTAGTTTTTTTCTTTCCCTGGGTCTTGGATTTAAATCTGAATTCACAAGTCAAAAGAGACTCGTAGACATAGCCCAGGAAGAAAGGTGAGCTATTAAACCAAGGAAGTTTGTTGTGATTTGCTGACTGTCTGGGTCTGGAGATTTTTGCCTTTTCATCCAAAACATTAGGCATATTTTCCACCTCTTTTGGTGGAAAAGAAGGTGCAGAGAATGCTCAGAGGCTTCAAAAGACTTTCTTTATGAAGTCATTTCACTGGTACCACATTCTCATTCACAACCATTTTGACTTCAGAAATGATAACTGGGCAAGAAAGAGACCCTTTCCCCCAGACATCTTTGAGTGAGTAGATAGCAAAGCCTTTTTAATTGGTGTGTCTGTACCTGGAATTGTTTAATGCTCAGGAGAGCAAGCGAAAAGGAGTCTGACATGAAACGGATTTGGTGCCTGTTATATCTATTCATAAATTTGATATAAAATGTCCATGCAGAGATTATGACCCTCTGAGAGAGTGCTACTGCTCTTCCCCATATGGACCCTGATAATCTCATCCTTCATTTCTTGTCTCTGTGCACCTACTGCAATGGAGTAGTATTGATATTACACTGGAAACTTTGTTTTCAAAAAAAATCATGGTGGTCCCAGTAGATTTTTTTTTAAATAATATTGAAAAGATCATACATATGTATGAATTGAATCATCACGCCATATCACTTTTTTGAACTTTATGTAAATCCAGTGTCTTCTAAATTTTACATTCATTTATGCTTCAGAAATGTTTATTCAGTTTTTGGTGCTCTCAAACCAGGGTATTTTGTTTCAAACTGAGTTGTACAAAATCCTAACTTCTGATTTCAAATCTGCAGGAGGGGAAACCAGTTTGGTTAACAGGAGCATCTGGCGATAAACATTAAACCAGCAGCTTGCAAATAGGTTTTAACTTACTTTTGACATTGAAGATCATAGATTAGGTGCTTCCCAGAGCCATTTTGGTAAACTGAAGGCCTAAAAATGTTTTTTGAGGATTTTATTCTCTGAAACATGACTGACATTATCTGAGAAGAACAGTGCAGGGGCTGAAACAGAAGGGTGTTATGTACACATTGGGAATTACTGAGGGGGTGTAACAGTGCCCAGGTATTTTTATTCTAAGCTGGTCAGTACCTTCCAAACCGTCTCACAGAACACGTGTTTATTTTACCTGTCCACGTAAGATACGTGCTGACGTGTGGTTTTTCTCCCTTCATTCCCACAGTTATTCAAGGGGTCGATATGGCCTTGCTGGGGCTGAACAACCAGAGCTTTGCCCGACTGATGGAGCAGCGCTTGGCCCCGCTGTTCATGATGTCCCACCAGCAAGGGAGGCGATTCAAACGTGCCACCACCGTGGGCAGCTACACTGTGCAGGTGGTCAATGCCACGCCGGTTGCACCTGGATATGTGTTAAAAAAAACCCACCAGGGCTTTGCTTTCACGTGTCCAGCTTCAATTTGTGTAAAAGATGTGCCTAACTGGGTCGAGATTTCCTGTGGTGTTTTTTTTTTTTTTCCCTCCAGAACATCAAAGCGGCAAGGGCGAAATGCGTGGCATTAATAATCATGTCTTTTTCTGCAGTCAGCCCCTCATCTTCTAGAAATCATCATTAGTTAATCAGTGTTAATAAATATTTTCTCTCTGGTTGCTATGAGGATTGGTACAAAGTACATGTTTTAGCGTAAAGTCTCGTATTCAGCATAATGAAGAGTTCCAAGCTTTTATTCATCAAAAAAGTTTCCTAGGTAACTCAGAGCTAGAACTTCTTTTTTGTTGGAAAAAAAATGTTAAGAGGCAGCCTTTCTGCAGGGTTAGTCATCAAACCATGTGGCCACAGATCACATGAAGTAGAGATTTTAGACCTGAATAATTTATTAATCATCTTTCTCTTATTTACAGCATTTCACATTCAGTATTTTGAAATGGTCATATTTTGTTTTCTTACCAATTAAGACAACTGTTATTATGGACAATTGAAATATATGTTCTTCAGTCTTCAAAAATTAGATAACAAGGTGTTGCTTTTTCAAAAAGTTACATTATATTTTTCAATAATTGATTGCTGTGAGATATAAACCCAAGCTACTACTTTTGTCATTTGCCCACAGTTCTTTGTGTTTTCCCACTGAAAGAATTTGAAGAAGGAACATGTTTTGCTTGCCAAAAGTGTGACTCTATGTAAAATTTCAGTACACACTGTAATGGAGAAGAATCATAAAACTCCTTTTCTTCTCATCATTAGAAATTTTTGACACTTTCTCTACTCTCAGGAAAGGTAGAGGTACAATGTGAAAATTCTGACAGTGTTCTGCAGAATAAAATGGGAAAAAACATGGTTCTCTTTATTATCAGCCTGGGATAAAAAATAATGAGGATAGAAGTGAAATGTGAGGATATTTTTCAACTGCAATATGTCCTAACAGTAGGTTAGGACAGATTATTAAGAATTCCTTCTTTACAGAGGACTGTAATGTCCAAACATTTGACCCTTTCCTCCTTTTTACTGCGTGCTTTTTCAACTCTAAGAGTAGGGTTTTACTTTAGGATTATATTTAAATGTTTTTTTAAGAAGTCAGTCAGTCAGTCCTCTGACTGACTGACTTAACCTGGGCTATGAAGGGGAGAAGCTCTGATCCTGTGAGAACATTTTCATGGAGCTTATGCTTGTAGGAGGTCTCGGAGGAGTTCCCTGTGGGCAGTGCCTTTAGATAGCTGCTGGCAAGTTTTGCGGTGGTATAATGCAAACACAATTTATTTCTCCTTCTCTCATTATTTATTTGTTTATTTATTTCCCTTAAAGATGGTAAAAATTCAACGTATCCCAGGCCCCAAGGAGCCGGCTGAACTGACGTATTACACTTTATACAACGGGAAGCCTTTGCTGGGCACTGCAGCTGCCAAAATTTTGAGCACCGTTGACTCCCAGCGCATGGCCTTGACCCTGGGCTATGTCATCCAAGTCCAAGCTGATCGTAAGAGTTCTTTTAAAAATTCTGTAGTTTAATCCTCTTTTTTTTTATTCTGTTGTTTTTCTTTCTTCCTTTCTTTCTTTGTGAAAACACCAGTGTAGATGTGGGAAGCCTGCACTTATCACACAGTAACGTCCACGGACTGAACATTATGGAACAGTAAAGTTGGAATTAATTCTGATGGTAACAAAAGCAGGAAACCACAGGCTAATAATGGCTGGGGCAAAGTTGCTATTCAAATAACTTGCCCCAAAGTCAAATGTGGGGGCTATTAGGAAGTCCTTTGTTTTTGACTTGCTCAGAATAATGTAGGTTCTGTCTCAAAGAGATTATTATTTTTTTTAAAATAATAATTTTCACTGAGAACTTTGTCAAGTGCACCACGTGGTTGTTAAAGGTGTTGTTTAGACACAAATCAGAAAAGTGAAGTTGAAAAGAACTACTTGTGTGTATGGACAGTTTTCAGATTCAAGATATGATCAATATCATTCAGAATAATGTGGCTGAAAAGGAATCCATTCTTGAAAAGTAAAGGTCTTTCAAGACCTTCATCAGTTACTGAGTTATTGTGGACACAAATTTCTCTAAATTTTTTTTTTTTTTTTTTTTTTGGATATTCCTGTGTAGTTGACCCACAGTCATAAACCTGTGGTGGAGCTTGGAGCCTTTTTTTTTTTTTTTGTGCAGTTAAGAGCTTAATGTACAAATTGATGCCTTTAGCTAACTGAGTCTCTCTACTTTGCCAAGGTTTTTATCTAGATGAAATTAAAATGATATAGTGGACTTCTTTATTGGATCTCCTTACTGACAAAACAGCATATAAAATGGGTCTCCCTGGTGCAATTATATCTGCTTGAAAGAGCAGTGATACTGAAATAATTACATGCGATAGTGACAGGAAAAGAAGGGACCACTGTAATAAGCAATTTATGTATCATCCATAAACATAGGATTGAGTTAGAAGGCAGAAATATGATATAATTTCCAGAGAATGCACTATGTACTGTATCTGATCCTTGATTCAATCATGGTCTGTTAATGACTTTAATTCAACTGAATAGGTTGATCTCCATCCCTGCTTCCTTAAATTCCAGCATTTAAATTCTAAATAATTCTGTTTTCTGTGAGAATATTTCTTTAATGCATTTTTTACTAAAGGAGATATAGATAATACATAGCAGTTTCCTAGCTCTTTGTGCAGTGTTGTGATTTATATGGGTATTTAGGCAATTATGACATCTGCTGCTCATCATCCAACTTTGTATTTCCATGGTCTGATGAGGCAGCCTTATTTATCTGAAGATTATCATACCACTGAAGTATGCATAGAATACTGTAAGAGAATATACAGAAATTGAAATTATGACCTGGGGTAACTGAGATTCTGAAGGCAGAGTATTTGAAATGTAGGAGGTAATTCTATCTTTATACCTTATTATGGAGAAAAAAGTCAATTGCTTTCATTTTGGACATGGTTATTTGCAGTCTGTCTTTGTATTGCCAAAGACAATACTTTGTGTGGATTTCATTTTTGCTCATTATAATTTCTTTATAGCAGAATGAAAAGTTCTGTTCCAAAATGCAGTAAGGAAACACATCTACCCTTGGGAGCTCATAGTCGGGTTAGACAAGATAGACGAATAATATCAAAAAATATGGATGTTCCCGTTTTATAAGCAAGAGACTGAGTTATAAGAGAATGAAAGGCTTGTTTCAAATTCCACTGAAGTCTTATTGAGTTAAATGAACCATAGGTTGACTTAAGGTCACATTGGAAGCTGGTAACTGAATTAAAGATGTAAACTAGGACTCCTAAATGTCTGTCCCATTAACCATAAGGTCATCATTCCCTCTGCATTCCCTACAAAGAATAAATATAGTTTTCCAACAATTGTTTGCTGCTCCCACATCAGCAGTCTATAATTAAAGTTACTGTTATTTGTTAAAATTCAGATTCAGTTTCCTTCCCCACAGCCCTTTCATCCCCAAACTAAATGTCAGAGTCAGCAATTAAGAATTATGCAAGTCTGTTGAAAAGTGAACTTTGAAAGGCTTCAACCTGGTTTTTTGGACAGTCTTTTTGCTCAAGTCCTGTACCTAATGGTGCTGTTACTACATCACCCAACAAAGTACATTGGCTTTGCAAAAAGCTGCAAATCTACAAAGAAAACAGACTCAGGCTTCAGCCAGACTTTCAGCTTTTGGAACTGCTGCTGAACAAGCTGGTATGCATTTGAAGTCTGATCCTGAAAGATGCTGAGTGCCTCTGACAGCTCATAAGCTCAATGACATTTGAAAGCACCAGTCCCCTAGGAAATGGGAATGGCTGCTTTGTGCTGGTATTCTCACAATTGCCTGCCCACACCAGCAACCAGTGCCATAGGAAAATAAACAGAGATATCATGGTGAAGTCCACTCAATGTTTCACTACAGCAGAATTCAGCATTATAAGGAGATTATCTGATGTTTCTCCTGAAAGAAATGAAATGAGAGGACTGGGAATGTGTCACTGGAGGATCTCTTATGTGTGAAGAAGTTGAAGGTTCATACTGAGAGAGATTATTCTGATAAAATGGAATCTAAAATGTTTTTGCATCACTGCATTTCTGAAATGTACCCTTTTCCTGGTGCCATTATTAATATATCTGCAAGTAGCTCTTTCCAACCTCATTATTTCCACTCCTTCAGAAATAATGGATTCAGTTTGACCTTAACTATGATAAATTATTTCTAGAGCACAAGAGAAGCATTCTCTTATTGCCCTATTGATTTTGATAATAACTATATTAGAGTGTTTAGCTTCACTGTTTTTGAAAAAGCTCTGCCACTTCACCCTTGGTGAGCCAATAAGTCTTTGACACCAGGTATGAACTCCATGTGTATTCTTTTAACACACATGCTACCTTGCTGTAAGCTGGATTTGTGTTTGAAAAATAGTTAAGGATATATTACTTGCACCTTTTTTTTTTGTTTGTTTATTCTGTAAATGAACCACTGGAGTAATTTCTAATATGACATCTAACTTGATTTGGAGTGGATGGCTGCTTTTGCATACAAACAGGTATTTGCATATAAATAAGAGAAGAGAGCCCAGGGATTTGTGTATTGAAGAGTGTTGCTGATTGTTTTGTTTTGTTTGTTGTTTTTTTTTTTTAATTAAGGTATTCCTTTGTATAGAAAGCTAGATTACTTACAGTCCTTTTGTACTAATCTTTATATGGAGACGGTTGAAGACTGGAAGCAGTCGGATTGTTGCACAGTGAAGCTTACCAGTGTTGGTTTGCAATTTTCTGTAGCCGTGGTGAAGAACCCCCCAAACAACCTGTGGATCATTGCAGCGGTGCTGGCTCCCATTGCTGTGGTCACAGTCATCATCATCATCATCACAGCAGTGCTGTGCAGGAAGAACAAGAACGACTTCAAGCCGGACACCATGATGAACCTGCCTCAGAGAGCGAAGGTGAGCGACCGATCGCGGGATCCAAAGACGTCCGTTTGCTCCCTGAGGTTGTAACGGTTTCTCTGATAGATGTAGTTGAAGAATGTTTGGGATTGAAATGGTTGTTACTCACAGGTTGGGTCTTTGCACTTCTCCTCTGTCCTTGATACCGCTGGATCCTCAGGACTCATCAGCTTCCATCACAGCTCGTCCCTTGGGCGTAGGTCGCGGTGACAGGAGAGCCCTTACACAGCCATGTCAGGCACTGAGCCATTAGGGCTGAGGAGGCTTCACCCAGGGCAGTTGCTTCCTTCTCAAAGTTGAGGACGTGGGATATTATGTCTGGGGCTTATCAGCATCACATCTCCTGTAGGATCTCAAAACCTGCTCCTACCTGCTGCAGGTGGCAGCATCTGAAGCCCTGGGCTTTGGCAGCAGTTTGGACCTGGTCCCAACCAGAAATTCTCCCCTCAGATGCTAATCCAGAATAGACATTCTTTGGATTTTTTTTTTCTCCCACTGTTATTTTTCTCTTAGATATTTTGAACTTTTCAATTTATTTGTGGATATTGCCTGTTGGGTTCAAACAATTATGTTTTTCTCAAAGTTACTAACCCATATCAATTACAAGATGGGTTTTTTTCCCCAAAGCAAATGCATTTCCAGTTTGATTCTCTGTCTCTAACAGAACATGGCACAGAATACTGATTTGTCTCCACAGTGAAAAGTCTGCCTTCTCAATGCTGCTATTCAGTGGCTCTTGAACAGGGCCAACCAAAGGTAGGAGTTTTTAGCCCACGGAGCCTGTGTGTAAGGCATACTGTTCCTTTGCCCTTTTAGCTGACTTTGTTCTTCTCCATTGGCATGGGACTGAGATGATGAATTTTTTCTTTGGTTTCTTAATGCTACAGACAGCAGGATTATTGAGATTTCAGCTCTGTTGCTTCTGCTGAAAAATGTAGATTGGAGGGAGAGCTGAAGTAAGTCATGATGCGTGTGACAGCTCCCTTCTCCTTATCTTGGGTTCGTTGCAGATGGGTGCAGCTGGTGCCAGTTGGAAACAAGACATTTGTATCAAAAATGATGCAAAAAAAAGACATTTCCATTTTGGTTCCAGTGTGCTCATGTATTTATCCACTGCTATCCATCTAGTGTTTAGGCTAGATCTGCAGAAGTGAAACACAAACAAAAATTAATATCATTGCAGTGATATGTAACACCCCACTGAAGCCTCTATAATGCAAATTATGCTTCATTAGGGGCTGTTGCAAATACTATGCACCAGTTGATTCTTTTTATATATAGTCTTAATCCCAGCTAGAGGTAAAAATAAGACTAAGTTTGTATATTGCTTTGAACTGCCCATCTTTATGGGATGCTTTACAGCTGAAGAAGGTTGCTATTTAAAAAAGAAACCCCACTGCTGGTAGAAGCTACAGCACAGAAAAAAACCCTTGAAAGTAATTTAATATTTTAATCCACAGTTGGCATTCCAAAAAGAAAGAGAAAATGGGATTTTTGCTTTTCCTGAGAAATCAGATTTAATCAGGCTGTAAGATACACGGTCAGGTTAAAACCTGCTCAGTCAAGGTTACACTTGCATCAGCAGCCAATGTCATCAGATGGGAGCTGGATCTGCAGAACTACTGGTGCTGAGCTCCCAGCACCCACACTACACTCATTTCAGGAGGTTTTCCTGCAGATTTGCTCATATTTACAGCTGGAGTGCAGGAGTTCCACTTCTGGAGTGCATTTCCCCTTTATGGTTTATTTTGAGACTCCATAAAATTTAATTTAATTCATTATATGAGAAGTGATGCATTTCCAAATGAAAGCTAAATTGCTTCCTGTTTAGCTTCACAATGATGGCTCCATCAAAAAGGTTCAGCCACGTCTAGTTTAGAGTATATGCTGGTATATGGACTGTGGAAGATAAATTCTGCAGCGGGACTGGGAATGGACTGGTTTGGTCATTCCTGATTTCAGCATCTTTACTTAAAGGAAGGCTAAGAAACATATTTTGGGAAGATAATGAGATAAGGTCATTTTAAAAAGAACAATTTTAGTTTAATTTTTAATCCCAATCTGAGGGATAGTGGTAGTTGCTTGAACTGTAATTGCCACGTTTCATGCAGTTTGGCAATACAAATAGCTGATGAGCACATATCCATATCACATTTAAAATGAATATGTTGTATTTCATGGCTCAGGAAAGTGCCTGAGACTGCTGATTAATGCTGACTCTGCTCTAAGTGGAGTCACAGTGGAGTGATCTTTAGTTTAAGCAGCAGCTTTAGTATTTTGTTTCTGTGTGTCCGAGATTTGCTGCCGAATCACTGGAGCAATTTTTCGATACCTTTTGAATATCCAGCAAAAGCAAAGGAGGATATTACGAGATACCTGCCGCCTCGGATCTCAGGTGTTTTTGTTTTCAGTGGTGCTGTTTCATGTGCTCGGACTCCAGGAGTCCTGTTCCAAGGGGACTGGCAGAGCGGAGCTGCCTGCTCATCTCTGCAGTCCTGCTGCTGCTGGGAGCAGCGGGAGGCTGCGGGTCCTCCAGAGCAGAGCAGAGCTGACTCCCACGTCCCTCCAGACACTCCCACGTCCCTCCAGACGCTCCCTCCCCTGCAGCGGGACAGGGTGCTCCAACGCAGCACGGAGGGGTAATGGAACATTTAACATGAAATATCCTTGTGCAGCTGGGGGAGGTGATGGAGCATTAACAGCAGGGCTGCTGTGGTTGTGCCTGGTAATTAAGAATGCCTTTTTTTATTGTTGTTGTTGTTGTAGCAGACTGAAGGGTAAATAAATGAAGTTTACAAAGTGACCTCTCTTAGATAGTGTGGTTTATGGTATCTGTCTTGGGAATTGTGTTGCTGTTCTGCCTCAGCAGTCAGGGACATCTGGACTAAGTTGCAGGGGAAAGAGACTGTTACAATTTTTTTCAATTTTCTCTCCGGTTGTAAAATTAAAAGAAGTATAAATTCAAATTGATGGAATTCTGATGGGATTTTATTTTAATGTTATTTCGATGTTTTTATTTTAAGCAACTGTTTTACCTTAAGGTTTTGGATGGATGTTAACTTTTGCATCTCTTGCTTTTTAATTCACAGCATGCTTTTTTAAAGGCTGTAGTCTGATTTGTCACCTCTCCTTTTTTTTCAGACCATGAAAGAATAAGTTTGCAGGTAAACAGAGATAAGATCTGTAATCTAAGACCTGCAAACAAAAGCAAATAGTGCAACCAAGGGAAAACAATGGCTGTCAGTTTGATAAAGGACATGGAGAAAAAAAAAATCAGTGAAACTGTGTACCTGGGTATACCTATAGAGGGGAGGAGCTCATCATCCTTTTTTCTTTTTTCTTTTTTTTTTTGTTTCATTTCTTTCTCTTTTTTTTTTTAAATGTCTTTTTCATGATCATTACAAGGAAAAAACCTCCCAGAAACAACTCTCTACATTCACTCTGCCCTTTGCCAGGCAGTGTAATCTAATAGTCTCATCACTCATTTATTATTTCAAAAGCAATATTAAAATCCCAGTCCCTCGGTCTTTCTCAGTGTTTTGGTCCTATTGGACAGCTATTCTTGCAGTGCTTCAGCAGTGCCTGATCATGATTTAGTCTTGCCAGTTCCCTTCAGGGGTGGTAAAGCCATCTGCTCCTGTGGGCTTTCGCGGAGCGGGGTTCCAAGATCAAATTTTATTTAATGCAATATGTCCGCTGATGAGGATGGCTTTCTCAGCTCTTCCTTTATTGCATTTTGTTGCTAGACATGGTGGTAAGTAGAATTCAGATTAAAATAATCCTTCATTTTCTTCCTTTGGCAGATCCAAGCTGGGACACTGCAGAATTCTTTAGTAATTCTCGTGTTCTGCTGCTTCTGGTTTGGTTTGGTTATTTTTTTTGTTGGTTTGGTTTGGTTATTTTTTTTGTTGGTTTGGTTTGGTTTTGTTTTTATATAAGATATGAAGTGTAAGTTGAAACTTACTTCAGTCTTTCAAAGGCATGGAGGGTGAACTAACTGATTTAATTGCCTCTGTTTTTACCTTTTTTTGCAGAATATCTAGGAGGGTCTTAACTCTGGCACTCAATATCGATAATGACATTTAAAAACATTATTTTGGTTAACAATATTACTATCTAGCACATTGTGCAGTTCTTCCTAGCTGTCCTTCACAAAGCTTCTGTTTCCCCTTTCTTCATTCCCTTCCCTTTCTTCATTTCCTCCCTTTGCAGCTGCTTTGGTGGCTCTTTTGTGGTACCTTACCTTCAGGGGAGGGCAAGGAGAAGGCTCCCTCATGACTTACCATGGAGGGGTGATGGTGAATTGGCATTTCTCTGATATGTTGAGAGTTCTGTGTGGAGTTGTCTGCTCTCCCAAATCAGCATTAGCCCACTTAGTGACTCCTTAATGCACGGAAGCTCCTTTCACCAGAGGGGTGCTGAAATAAGGGAGCACATTAGAAATCATTAGCATCATTAGAAATCATTAGCCTCAGTTTGAACAGGAGATTGGGAATGCCATGCAGATCCCCATAAGCAAAAAGCACGTTTTATTATGTTTTAAAAAGTAGAAGGCAGCCCCATTATTTTCAGACTGAACTCACCTATGAAATGTATCTCTATTTATAGCAACAGATTTAGTAAGGGACACAACAAGAAAAAACGTTCTTTTCAGAGCTCATCCTTTTTTTCCTGTGCCATCAGCTAATTTTTTTCTCCTGCTGATTTTCTTCTGGAAGTAAAATATTCAATAATGACATGACAGGAACACGGAGAGACTAATCAGTCATGAACTAATTCCAGTGTGTTTCCTAAAGTATGTTTGAGGTTTAAAATCACAGCTACTCAACTTTGAAGTGTTTTGTAGTGCTTTTTTTAGCATTTTGTCAATAGTCTTTGTACTTCAGCAAGAGAATCCTTCCAGTTTTGGGTAAATTAATTCAATTTAGTGTAGCAAGAACACTTTTGTGTTTTGTGTTTTTTCCAGAAGTGGTCAGGAATTTCTTGGAGTGATTTATTTTTCATATTCTTCCCCCCCCCCCAAGAAAATGCAGGTTGTTTGTGGGTTTTCTTTGTTGTTGTTGTATTTTTCCCCTTCTCTTTTTCTTCCAATTGAAAATGAAGTTTGGAAAGTCAAGTTTTGCCTAAATGCTTTAATATTTCCATTGAGAGAATTCACCTTTGAGTGGCTGCCTTGCCCAGGAGGCACGTGTTAATTCTGTTTTTCCCTTGCAGAGGCAGCAGGGAAAGCCTGGATGGGCTTTGGGAAGAGGAGGCTGGGCACACACCCTCAGCTGCCTCACTGCAAGGCTCTGGTGAAATGCCACTTCCCAAGAGAAACAAGTGAAGTCAATCACATCCTTCCCAGCAGGCAATTGGCAAGCCAGGGGAAATATAGTTTCACTGATCTGAAAAAGATTCTTTTCTGGAAAATGTTGCCCATGAAACTTTGATGTGTGCCTTTTCTACTGTGTCTTGACTGGGAATAAATTACTCCCACCTTCTTTGGAAACACAAGGGTTTTGTCAGAGAAAGTTTTCTATATGGTCTTATTTCTTTTCCTCCTAATTTTTTTCTTCCATATCCTCATTCTTCCACTATCTGTCAAAGGAATTTCTGGAGGTGTTACAGCAGGGTAAGAAAGGTTAGCCAAGATCAATTTTATACTAATCATGTTTAAAATATGTGGAATGGAGATTTCATGAGAAATTGGTTTCTTGTTGGGCATTCACATGGTGATCTACATATTTTTTCCTGTCACTTATGTAATTAAAGAAGTTAAGGAGTAGTGAGAGATTTTATGTTGAAGTTGAAAATTTATATTAACATAACATGCTGGAAGTTTCTTTTATTTCTCCTTTTCTTTTATTTCTCCTATTCTTTTTGCAGCCAGTACAAGGCTTTGACTATGCCAAGCAACACTTGGGTCAGCAGGGAGCAGAAGATGAAGTTTTACCTGTAACTCAGGAGACTGTCATACTTCCACTTCCAGTCAGAGATGCTCCTGCCTCCCAGGAGAGAGAAATTACCCAGGATGGGAGCACCATCAAAACTGCCAAATCCAATGAAACAAGGAAAAGGTACTGACTGGCATCTTTCCACAGAGGGGTGGAATAGGGTACATGCTGCTGGTTTCTGTAAGGTTTGGCACCCAGGCTGAGTGTGTGGCAGATGGTTCCTCCATGATGTACCCTTGGTATAACACTGGTCTGCCCTGGATATGTCAAATTGCTGCAAAATATGAGGTAAACCAAAGTGAAACCTTCACAGGTTGTACATTCATAGAGGAGGTGAAGGGGAAGTGGCTTTCATGTTCAAGAGATGAGCCCAAATGAGACATGGGACCAAAAGACAGGACTTTGGCCACTGTAAATTTCTGTAGCTGCACTGGTGGACTCGGTCACTCCAGAATTAGCCCCAGTGCAGAAGGGAAAACCCTAAACATCCACTAAATTATGGAAGACCTCTACATCCAAACCAGCTACAGCAGTACAAAACTTCTGAGAGTGTAAGAATAGACTAGAGAATGTCAGTGTCTAGGGTAAAGTGTCCCAGGTTTGCAGTCTCTTCATACAAAGTCTCTAAGGTTGTAGGATCACAGATTTAAGGTCCCCAGGAAGCTATCTGGCTTCTCTTCTTCTCTGCTGCAGGGTCAAACACCCCCCAACTCAAGTTTATCTACCTTATTTTAAAGTCTTTCACTGGTGGGATGATCACAGCCTCCTCCAGCAATCTGTTCTCTTCTGCCTTTCCTGTTAGGAAATTTTACCTTGTGTTTACCCTCAATCACCAACAGAATAGCTGAATAGAAGGTCATTATTTCTTGTCTCAGTCACCACAGGCGAGGAAAGAAGATTATCCCTTTATCCTGGCTGTTTTGCGTTCTTTGTGTCCATTTTTCCTTGACATTAAGTTAGAGTGGAACTGAAGAATGATACTGAAGTGAAGAGAGGAAAATAAAACTGTTAGGTAAACAGCTTGAATAGAGGTAACAGTTGTGTAATTCACTGGCATTACACAGTCCTTGTCTCTTGAAGGAACTTGACAGTATAAAAGAAGTGTATCTTGCTAGTGCAGAGAAATTCTATAGAAAACCAAATCTTCACAGCTGAGTCACCTCATCTTGTACCATGACATTTGTCCCTTTGGAGTAATGGAAAAGCTTGGAAAAATTGGCACAATGTTGCTGTGCACTGAGACAGGAGCACATCTGCAGCTGTGGGAGGTGTCAGCCGGCACCGTGTGGGGCTGGAGGAGCCAACACTGCTGCTCTTTACGGTGGGTAGACATCCCCACTGGTTATAAACTGAGGTTTTCCCTACAGAAAAATGGAGACAGAAGGATCCTGAGCTAGTTCCTGGTTTAGCACACTTCTTTGGCTAAGGCACCTGGAGCGTGGAAAGAGCTGTCTGCAGGGAGTACCAGTAGAGGAGAGCGAGCCAGCTGTGTTTGGATGTGAACTGTTATTCTGCCATTTAATGTCAGTGATGTGTTGTTCACGCTGTAAATCACTCAGACTTTGAGGGTTGGGTTTTATAGTTCATGTGAACCGAACAGCACTTGTCCCTTTCGAAGTCTTCCATCCTCTGATGAAATGACAAATGGAAGAGGACCACGACATCAGCAGCAGTTGCTGGTGCTGAACCACCAGAGGTTAAGTCTTTGCAGGAATTGCTCTTCAAAATGTTCTGAAGCCTCTCCATAGCCATGTGTAAATACACACAAAAAATATAAACCATCCCTATTAATTAATCCTCTAACAAAAGTGATTAAGCACTTCACTCAGTCCTTTGAATGAGCTCCAAAATCTCCCTCTACTTAATCTGGACCATTTTAAACAAACGTTGATAAGCAAACTTGATCCAGGAATTCACAGGAAAGTTACTCTCATTATAAAATATGTTCAACCTTGCTGCCCTTCTAAGCAAATAACTAAGAGTTAGTTTTTCCTCCTTCAGGATGATTACTTGAGTAAGTGAGAACATGCAGAATTTTAGTATTTTTCTTTCCCAGGAGCTGTGTCTGGGGTTGGAATAAAACGGTTTCTGAAGATGAAGAAATATTTCTTGACCTTTATATATTTGCTCTTTCATCCAGGCTACTTTGCAGCCTGGATGAGTCAATTTAAATCAGACTGCCATGAAGTGGCTGGTAACTGATCAGAATATCTCCTCTGATATCACCATTGAAAGAAACCTCTCAGTTATGACAGCCACTTAAAAAGGATGAATATTTAGATTAGTGGCAGCAGAAATCATTGCGCAAGATATCCATGCTCTTCTGATTCTTTTCCGTGTTCCCAAATGGAGCAGATTTTCTTCAGGTGTTGGTCTGTCCTTAGATGAATTTTTTTACTGGGCTGGGATTATTCATTAGGTAGTGACAGGTTTATAGGGGAGAAATCCTTGCTTCACAAGAATATTGATTCTCAACAGAATTTCACTAGAAGATCCTCAGGCTGGACTGAGCTGGGCTGCATGCTGAGTTCTGATAGAGCCCTGTAGCTGGAAAGAGCCTGTCTCAAATTGTATTTCCACCTATGCTATCTTCAAAAGAGAGTCCCCAAGAATTGCTTTTCTGATATTTGTCCCTTACTGTTCTGACCACAGTAAATGCTTTCTACTTACACCAGGCAGGGTGGTCAGAACTGGAGGTAAATGAATGTTTCAAGCTGAAGACTGAAACATTCATTTATTATATTGCCATAGTATTGGCAATGATTTGCAGGATGATTTTGACCGTTGTTTTGCTTTACTACCATTTTCTAGATATAAAGCCACTATGACAGCAATAGAACTTGATTTGATTTTTTTTTTTCTCTGTAAATGACAGTCTTTGTGACTAAGTCCATTTCTTTTTTTTCTCCAATGCAACCTCTTTACATCACCCTGTCAGTGGCTGTGACAATTCAGTGGTAGATTGCAGATAGGTGTGTGAATAACTGCACAGGTCCAGTGAATAGTTTTCATTCCCTTTGTGGCAAGTTTCACATGTAAAAACAATGTGACCACATGTCTGGATGTGGACTAGCACCAAATATACCATTTTCTACTTTGGCTTCCTTTTCCCAGCTTGTGCATTAGGATTTGAGTAATTTACCCATCCCAGAAAGAAGTTCTGATGAGAGTTTGCTCCCAGTGCAGCCCAGAGCCATACTGCTGGTTTCTGTTCCTGCTCCTTGCTGGGACTTAACACACCGCTGTTCTGACCTGCCCTCCCTCCTCACCCTGGGCAGGGACCATTTTCAGGACAAGGACATGCAATGACTGAGTTAAAAAAACTCTTAGGAGTTTCAGTAAATAATGGTGCTGGTTAAACCAGGTTATGTGCCAAGAGGAGAAAAGGAGAATTTTCTTAACACATTGTGTGTGTGTATGTCTGAAGTGAGTGAGTGAATTTTGCATTATGGCTGACAACAGTTCAGTGTAAATGCAGGCTAAATAACAAAGGAACTGGTTTATCCATACATATAAAAGCAAAGGTCTACTTTATTTTAACCGGGTAAATGACATTGAATTGATAATGGGGGTTTTTTTGTCCTCTGCAGTGGCATTTCTGTCATTGTGGAGCTTTTGCATGAGAAGTAGTTGCATTCCAAGCCACTAAGATGCCCATCAGCCCTGAACTAATTGAGAAAGTCGTGTTCACCTCCCATCACTCTGCTCCTACCTCACTGTGTTTCTGTGTGCAGTTTATATTCTGTCTCCTTTTGGTACAAAGTCAGACTTGAAAACTCAGTGATGCAAACTGTGCAAATGAAATAACCTTGAAATGAGGTTTATAAGGAAGAACTCACATCCTGCCTTGTTGCTATGGTTACTTGCAGCCGGTCCCCAAGTCAGAATGGCTCCATCATCAGCAATGGGTCGGGAAAGCCCAGCTCTGGACGGAGCTCCCTCCAGAAAGTGATGGCACCTCAAAAAGTGACAAAAGAGGAAGGAAGGAAAAGAAATGGTGAGATGTGTTTGTTGATGAAAACTGCTTGTGGGAACCCACATGGGCAATAGCGATGTCAAAACCACCTTCTTGCACCCTCAGCAGTACTTTGGGCATACTGTGTGTGTAGCTGATCTGTTGGGTTTTTTCTTTCCCCTTTGCTGCTATAACTGTTTCTCAAGCTCCCATGAAACCATGCTTTTTGCTCTTTGTGTGGGCCTTTGCAAGTTTTCTTTTTTGTTTCCTTTCCTTTTTCTTTTTTCTTGAAATACCAGTAAACTAATGAAGATATGCTGCAGCTTAGTAGGTGGACAGGGTTTACAGCTTTTTTTATTGTGTAGAGCCCAAAGATGTTCATTTCCACTGCTGCTGTTGCTAAGCTGGCCCAGATCTGATGAAGACGAATTAATTAGGTAAAAATTAATTTGAGAAAGTGTGAAACATCCAGTGTTTTATCTTTTGTTCTCTAACCATCCTTAGCACAGCTGTTTGTTATTAACACTTAGTGGCATCACTTTTCGTGATGCACCCAGGATGTTACACTGGATGTTTCTTACAAAACTGGATGTTTCTTACAAAACCATCAAGCAAAACCTTGCTTGATGGTGGTGACCTTATGACTTGAGATATATCAGGAACACCTGATAAGAGTAGAATTTGACCCCTTTCTTCCTTGCTTTTCTTTTTTATGTCTCTCTGCTTATTTCTCCTGGGTTATAGCTTTGCTCCTGTAGCTATGAATAGAAAACAGTGGTTAACAGTTCTAAGTTTCAACGTGTTTAATTATTTTTCCAAATATAGCTCATTTTACAAGACAACAATGTTTATGGTTTCCAGAGTTAAAAGCTGTAATTTATGCTGTCTTTTTTCTTACCTACCCAGGGAAGGCAATATTCAAAACCGGTGCCAGGTGATGTTTACATGTGTAGGCAAAAAAATTTAGTGAAGGTACTTTTTGTTTTGTTTTGTTAGGTGTTAAATCTTCAAAGAAAATTAGTAAGAACTCAGGGTTTTTTGTTAAAGAATTGACTAAGACAGAATCCTTTCTTCTGATCTGGACTGTGGTACATTTCTAGAACGTACACATGCTACTTAAAGAAACTTTCAATGTAGTATAAAGAAATAGTGACCCTTTATTTTATATCTTAGTTTCATTAGAATTTTAGCTGCAACTTTATTTGATAGGAATAACCATGCATTTTTCAAATTATGCTGGAAAGCTAATAACTGCTTTGTTTACGTGTTTATTTTGCCCTCTCTCTTCTTTCTTCTGAAAAGAAAAAAACCTGAATAATGATGTTATTTAATAGCTAAAGGATTTCTAGTTCTAGGGCCCTAGGAAAAACAACTTTAGTGTATACTCCATTCATACTGTAGATTCTAACCATTTGTGCCTACTGCATGCTGGTAGTTTCCTCAAACAACCCTTTCAGAACAGCTTCTGAGAGGGAAGATATGGTCAGGGGAGATGAAATGACCTCCCCTTATCAGAATTATGGAGTTGACTTTGGAGTTGTGTGATCCCTGTTGAAGTTGAAGGCACCCATTAGTTCTCCTCACAGAGCCTACACTTTTTGTTCCCCGGTGCTGTGATTACAAGCACTGTTCTCGTCTCTGATAGTTTGTTCTTTTCACAGGGTTTTACCTTTATCCAGTGGGATTAGCATCCATATAATGTATTGGCTGTTTTCCCTTCCCGTTTAAGAAAGAAGCAGCTTTTCTCCCAGCTGTTTGCCTGAGCCTGCTCCAGCTCTCCAGCCTGGCTGTGGGCTGACAGCTCTAACACGCATGTCAGGAAAAGCAGCAGCATATTTTCTTCTCTCAAAAGCAGCATCTTGGAACTGGAATGAATCCCTTGATGGTCACATGCTTGATTTGGGGACTCCAAGTTAGAATGGCTCATTAGTTGCCATAGTTACAGGCCAATTTTAGATTCTATTTCTTGCTGACATTTAGTTACAGGGGAAAAATGACAGCACTGGATGTTACCTCAGTACGTAAATTCCATGTGGCTTGTATCAAATTTGACTCCAAATGGAGTGTGTCAGGGCTGAGAGTGAACAATGTGAAACCAGCACAGACTGACAGGCTTGGCTTCAGGACCTGATGTTTTTGAGGATCAGGAGAGCTCTTCAGCTGAGCATTATTTCCACAGAAAACACAAATAAAATATCTGTTTGCGTGACACAGTGATAAGCTCTTGTAAGATAAATGCATGTTTTTTCTTGGAGAATGCTTAGTATATTAATGTAAAGCTTGCTTTCTAAAAGTTGATGAGTTGTGCTTTCATTTACTTCAGGCACTTAAAAGAAATTAAAACCTTTCTTAAAAAAAAAAAGTGCCCAGTTATGTATGTTAGAGAACTCTAATATGAATGAATCAGCAAACAGAGGTACTGGCAGTTTCTGAGATGGGTTTCTAGGAGGGCGTGGAAGAGAACAACAGGATATTTACACTTTCACTTATAGTTTTATTAGGCAAAACATCATTCAGGGAGGAGCAAAAGGCTGAACCCACTCACATCTAAAGAACTAAAGCAGCCTACATTACAACCTTTCACCAGCTCCTCACAAAATGATGCCAAGGAAATTTATATAGGTTGTTTTTTCCAACCTTTAAGTTGGAAAACCGTTCCATTAGCATCTTTGGGAGAGTGTGGTTGCTTGAGGGTTTTTTTTGAGAAAAACAAAAGCTTTGATTTTGTGGAAGTTCTTAATGAAACACATGACTCCACACTTTTTGGGCTAGGAATTTGTGTAGTTGAACTCAGATTTGTACTTGAACCTCATCCTCACAAAAGGACACACGTCACAGGTGGAGATGCACAAGCAGCATTCCCAAGGAGTTAAACTTCTTTGTGTTAGAAACCTTCTTTTCCTCCTTCTAGGGATCCCAGCTGGACCAGCTTCTCATCTTCTAAGCATTTGGATTTTGCCTTTGGAAACAGGTCTAACTTTTCAGAAATAATTCAGTTACGGGACTCACTCCTTTTTAAAATATCAGTCTCTAAGACTGTAATTTCTTTTGTCCAGGCAGAAGCTGTCTGCAGGAACAAAGTAGCAGGGGAGGAAAATTTGGCTGTGTTATTTGCTTAGCTAAAATCAAAGGGATTTTTGGGTGTAACTCAGCCAAGCTATGATACACTGCCTCCTTTATTCTGCAGAAGCGTGGGCCACTAGTTTTCACACTGTCTGATGTGGCAGCTCAGCGTCAGAGCCTGCTTTTCTGAAGTTCTGAGCAGTTGTCTGTAGTGAGTCAAAATAGAATGAAATTTGGCAACAGCAAAGTAATCCAGTGGCAGCAGTGTAGTGGCCTGCTTTGACACAGTTAGCTGGAGGATGTGGTGTAACCCAGCAAATATCCAGCACCTTTTGTCTGCCTTTTCTCTGCTGGGTGGAATGAAATGTGGAAAGGGCTGCCAATTTTTTGATGCTTTAGAATTGGTTTCCTAATCTGACTGACTAGTCTAGTGACTCCAGAGGGTCATGGGCAACTGGGACAGATCTGCTCTGGAGGTATTCATCTTTCCCTTTCCTGTAAGAAAAGATCCCTGTCAACTGCATTGGAGCATATGTGCAGATTTGAAGTGAGATGATTCCCATTCAGGATGTGTGTGTCTCTGAAAGGCTAAGAGATCAGAGTTCTGGGAAGAATCCATGGTGTAGAGAAAGGGGTCTGTTCCTTTCATTATTCATTCCCTCCTCCTGAAGCATTAGCTTCATTTGCCCCAGAAAGGGTGTTAAGTGGGGATCTTGATCTAGCTCTTCACCCCCTCACTGTAAATTCCTAGGCTTTTGGGAGTAATTTACTGACATTTAACCATAGATGAGTAAAAAACCCCCAAGATTAAACAAAAGCCACTTGTTCAGCTGAAATCCTGTGTGTTGGTACTAGTCACTATTCTCCTTGAACCTCCCAGATGCTTTATATGTTGATTCCTTTTTTTTCTCTCCAAAGATTCCACCTTGTGTGACACAGCCTAATATTTCCCCATGCAGTTTCAGTTTCTTCAACTGCTTTTTTTTGTTGTTGTTTACTTCCTTTAAATATTGAGAGCACTGTGACCCTGCTGGCATCCAGCTGGTGACAGGGAACCCTTTGTTCCTTCAAACTTAGTCAATACCATTTCCTGCTGCTTTCCCTCCTTGGTGTTGGTTTGCGAGAGGCAGCCAAGTGTTGTAACCTATTCTGTGAACTTCTGAGTTTCTGCACACTCCTACAAAGCAAAAGATACCAGTGCTCCTCTGCCTCTTTTCCCCAGAGACCGAGTGGGAGGAAAACAGCACCTCCAAGTTGTCCATACAGCTTAGAATCATAGAATCAGCCGGGTTGGAAAGGACCGCTGAGATCATCAAGTCTAACCCTTCATTTTTATTTTATTTTATTTTTTTTGAAATCCAGTCCAGGTTTCCCCCCGTTCCGTACACTGGAAAAATCCAGTCTGGGGTTTCCCCCATTCTGTACTCCAAAAAGATCCAGTCTGGGTTTTCCCCTATTCCGTACTCCGGCCAAAATCCAGTCCGTGTTTCCCCCCCCCCCCAAGTGGCCCCAGGATGGCCCGACAGGGGCACCCCAAGGTGTGAACCCCCCGAGGTGACACCAGAACAGTGTCTTATTTATTGTAACAAACACGGAGGATCATGATGCAATGAATTACTTCAAAAAAATCAGCTATTAACCTTGTAACTACACAAGAATACAAGGTATAAATGCAGTACAGCAGCGTGCATCAGACACTGGTGTCCATCTCAGACTGGTGTGAAGCAGCCACGTTACTGTATCAATTCCATGCATTTAACTGTGCTTCTGGGTTTATATTGTGGGCGTTTACTGTCAACTGGCTTAAAAAGAAATGTGGATTTTCTTTTTAAATGTATCAAACTTGACATTTTGTTCACTTTTTGAACTCTGTACGTGGATGCTGTCAGAAGTTTGGCTGATGGAAAGAAAAGGACTTAGTTGTGGAGGACGATGGGTGGGACTTCATGGGAGCTACTTTCTTGCAGTAAATGTAAATA